AAAACGTTTTTTTCCCCGCTTCTGTTCGCATCCAAATAGGAGTATTGTAATGTACATCAAATATTTTGTCGTGCAAAACGTGTTTTTCAAGATGTTTGGACCCAAGAATCTTTCATTTATCATTTATGGATGTCATTGCATTGTATTTCTTATACATGACTTTCGGATCAGAACTAAGGACTAGATGATTCCAGACTTCCATAAGTGACTGACGTCCATGATAGTAAATCTCAAACTTCATGGCAGGGGCGGTTTCACACCGCTTTAGGCTCCCAATTCTTAGGGACCCTAATTTTTAGTATTTTTAATATTATATATATATATATATATATATTTTAAGAAAAATCTATTTTCCAAAAAAATTTATTTGTTTGAATTTTAACTCCAAATGCAGTAGACGGAGTTTAAAAAAGTTTTCAAAATTAGAAAACCTTAATTTCGCCTATTATAAACTTTTAGATTTGTAATTGTCAATCCAAAATATGAATAAGAAGGAAGGTTAATTTTTTTCTTTTTTTAGTTTTTTAATTTTTAAAATGCCTAAATTTCGAAACTCGCTTTAACCTCCTTGACACCTTAAGCCGCTATTGCTTCATGGGCCAGGTTTGTTCAATTATTGGCCTAAAAATATTAATAAGGAGAAACGTAAAATTGTTATTGCGTTATCAACCTGTAGATTTTAGTGTCTAAATATGGAATGCATTCTGAAGACGCAGATGCAGAATTTCTCATATGAGAAATTGATTAGTTGCTTCACAACAAAATCTTAACAAGTGATAAATAATTTCAAGGTTCGGCTAATCAAGAACCTGGTTTAAGTAACCAAAAAAAAAAAAAAAATCCTATCCAACCAAACTTTGTCATAATTGAAAATTCAGATAGGAGATTGATGAAATGCTTATTACGAGAATTTAGATTCTGGTAAACAATGTATTCATATTACTCAAATCTAGATTTGTGGTGGGTATGGTGACTTCCTATATATGATTTGTGATTTATACCAAAATAGTAATCTCTATTTTATAGTAATTATCTAATTTTTATTTTTATTTTTATTGCAAATGATATTAGAACTGAATTTCAAACAGAACAATCATTACAGGAGAGATGGAGTACTACTAATAAGAATCCAAGGTCGGCTAAGATTTTCTTTTAGTCCTTTGCATCTTGTGTGCCCATGAACTCTTTTCTCCACCAGTTGATATTTCACCATCAGACCAGCTCGAAGAAGAGGTAGATTTATGGTTATGGAATTAAAAAGAAAATTTGAATGATTTGCTGTCTTGCTGACCTACCATGCATGACATATGACGGAGAATTCAGTTCCTAATTTAAATGTTGGAACTAAAAAACTGGCATCATTTATAAATACTAATTTATTAACTCGAAGGGCTATTAATTGTAGCTCTTTAGGAGCATGAAGTTTCTTTTGATAAAACGCAAGCTTGTATATCAAGGAGAACTCCATCAATTTACAACTCTTCCAACACTATTACATTTTCTTGCTTAACAAGTAACTATTCCTATCCTGTTTAAAAAAGGACCTGATTTATCTTTTTTACTTTTGTACGAGAATTGAACTTTGCAAATGATTTCCTGTTTGATTTTCTCAGCTGTAGCTATTGGAGACTCTAATGTATTACTAAAAGCCGCCTATCATTCCTTTCCAGCCATATATGTTATACTAGGATTGATGGCTGCCAAAAAAATTTTCTTCTATAGTTTCTAATACCTCCAGATTCTATTTAATGTGCCTGCTTGTAATCCTGCGATATCAGTTCTCACTCCCATCCTATTCTTTACTTCAGCAATCACCTCCTGTGCATACTGGCAGCGCAAGTAAAGATGTGCATTTGTTTCCTCCTCTTGGTTGCATAATCTGTCCACAGTGAGCAATCTCCCTTACCAAGCAAGCCAGCTTATAAAACTGTGCCAGCTTATAAAACTGTGCTTTGTGATACTATAGGCATTCCAAACGATGCTTGCACCTCTAAATTTTGGACAGCCTCCTCTCATCCATTCATAAGCACTTGCAGCATCATAACTCTTGTGGCTGTTAACTGTCCATTGACCATGTGGATTTCCTGCTTATAAGACATCCTTGACCTTAACTAGATTCTTCCAGTGCCAGCTGCAGTCATGAGGAGCATGAAGTTTTCCTAGATTTAGTTTATTTCTAACTGCATTAATCTCTCGATAATTATACAAGTCGAATTTCTGTAAGCCCATATAAGTGTTTATGCGGTTCCACCTCAAAACACATGGGGTATATATGTGGGTCAAGTTGGGTTAGCATTTTCAGTATAAGACAAGTGTTTTTCACTTGTTTTTAAGTTCAAATAGGATTTTAACATCTCCTCTCAAATCCAAAGGTATTGGACAATGTCTGTTTGAATGATCAAATCCCAATATAGGTAATAAACTCCTTGGATATGCTGTCAACTCAGTAAAAGTCCAATATGGGTAAATCAAATTTTTCGTATATACTGTCGGTTCAGTCAAAACTCATTACGGGTATAAGTTAAAGATCCAATACGGGTCAGTCAAACCGGAGAAATCGCCGGATCGGTCAAAGTCTATACACAAAGACTGATTAGTCATGAGGGAAATGGCACATAAAATATATACGTTGGTCCAGTTGGGTTACCATTTTCAATATGGTACAAGTGTATTTCACTTATTTTCAAGTTCAAAGGGGATTTTAATAGAATTGTTATAGTGATGATATCAGTGACTAATTCATCAATTAATATTGTAGAATTGAAAATTTTATAATTTTGAAGTTTATATGCAATGTGATTAATGTTTGTAAATTTGGAGCCTTCTACTTCCCGGGCCTAAACCGATTGCTTCTACTTTATAGAAGAGTAGAGCCGCCACTGCTCAAACCATAGATATAGCACAGACGCATCCATCAATATATTTTTTTCTCCAGAAAAATTAGTCCGTGATAATAATAATTAATGAAAAACTGAAGAATCTGATCCAAAAAAAAAAAAAACAGAAGAAATGAAAATGTAAGGATAACGTTGATTACCTCCACTAATAAATAGAAAAAACGAAGAAGTAAAAGAAAACGAGTAAATCCAGAAAGAAGTAAAAACGACAAAGACGGAGAATTGGCATCTATAGTACTTAACTAAAGCAGCAAATAAAAAGGATATATGTCAGTACTACAATGAAAATTTTCCCGCTAAAAGCCATTTTCAGTACAAAATCATTTTTGACACGTGCCCTCTAACTAATCAGAAAAAAATAAAATAGATAAATACATAAATCCCTTAATTATAGCTAAATAAAAATATCTTAATTATAGGTATATACTAATCCCTTAAAAGAACAATATTTAGTTAATAAAATCAAATGTAAGGAAATCCCCTTAATGTCTTCCTAGTCCCCAATTTCAAAGAATCTCTTCCATTCCGCTCCTCTTTCACACCCGGGCCTTTAAATCAATTACTTAAAATCTGACATCAATTATCAATCCATCTCTTTCTACAACAGAGAAAAATAAGTTGTCATCAAAGAAATTTGATTTTTTAAGGATGATTTTTTTTTTATTCTTCTGTTGTAGATATTGGTTTATGATTTATGTAAACCCGGACATAAGTTAACTATTATAAATTAAATATTGTAAATCTGGGCATAGATTTATGTGTAATAACTCACTTTCTGTCCTTTCAATCGATTTTTTATTCTTCTGATTCTTTTTTTTATTCTTTTAAGAATGATTCGTAGTTTTTATTTAATCAATTTAAAAGTACAGGCGACACCTCGGGCATTCGCCCGGGGCAAGCATCTAGTTGTTATCTATAGTACTTAATTAAAGCAGCAAACAAAAAGGACATGTGTCAGCATTACAATGAAAATTTTTCCGCCAAAAGCCATTTTCAGTACAAAATTGTTTTTGACAAGTGCCACTCTAACTAACCAGAAAAAAAAAAAAGATGGAATAGATAAATACATAAATCCCTTAATTATAGCTACATAAAAATCTCTTAATTATAGGTATATACTAATCTTTTAAAACAACAATATTTAATTAATAAAATCAAATGTAAGGAAATCCCCTTAAATCAAGTGAAACACAATAATATCTTCCCAATTCCCAATTTCAAAGAATCTCTTCCATTCCGCTCCTCTCTCACACCCGGGCCTTTAAGTCAATTACTTAAAATCTAACATCAATTATCAATCCATCTCTTTCTACAATAGAGACAAAATAAGCTGTTATGAAAGAAATTTGATTTTTTAAGGATGATTTTTTTTTATTCTTCTGTTGTAGATATTGATTTATGATTTAAAACCCGGTCATAAGTTAACTGTTGTAAATTAAATGTTATAAATCTAGGCATAGATTTATGTATAATAACTCATTTTCTGTCTTTTCAATCGATTTTTTATTCTTTTATTTTTTTATTCTTTTAAAAATGATTCGTATTTTTTATTTAATCGATTTAAAAATACAGGCGGTCCGGGGCAAGCATCTAGTTTTCTATTTATGGTAAGTACGTCGAGCAGATCTATACATATATGCATGCACCCTTTTAAATTTTTTTTTCAGAAGCGTAGATTCGGAAAATGTAAAGCAACATACGGTCTTAAGCGCATATAAAATCCTTTGTGCAAGAGAAAACCAAATCCCAAAACTACTTTTTTTTAGTGGTCCTTTCTATTTTTCCCTTTTCATTATTAGATTTTTTTTTTTTTGGGATAAATAATGGTCCACACTTAAGTACGCAATTATTTCAGCTTGTATGGCTGGGAAAATTGAGACCTGTCGGCTAGTGGTTTATTTAATGATAATGGAGAAAAGAAAAATGAAAAAAACAAGAAGGTCGAAATGAATATATTGATAATAAGGCTCGAAATGAATATATATTGAATTTGTTAATTAACGAAAATATTTGGATATTGAAGGTCCATATCAATTATAACGATCACTGTAAAATATGGCAGAATTAAAAATCAGCCGCTCAAATACAAGCTGTGATTTTTTATCCATGTATGCCGACGGTTCCAGACATCGACTTTGTTTTATAAATAGAGAACATCACCTAGCCTCTATTTTTGCAAGCTAATTAAGTAAACTCTTTCTTGGAGAAAAGAAAAAAAAAATCAAACTTTATTCAAAGATTTCAAGCAATGATGGCCAGCAATTTTGTGGAAATAACATCAAAAGAGATGATCAAACCATCATCTTCAACGCCAAATCACCTCAGAAACTTCAAACTGTCTTTCCTAGACCAAATTGCACCATCAATGTTCATCCCTCTTATTACCTTCTATGAAGCTGCCCATTCCCCAAATCCTCAGCTCCTGAAGCAATCATTATCTGATGTTTTATCCAAATTTTACCCTTTATCGGGAAGGTTTTGCGGCCACGACGATCTGACCGTGGATTGTAATGATTCCGGAGTTTCTTGCATTGAGGCTAGAGTTCATGCCAATCTCTCGGATGTCATAAAAGAGCCTAACATGGATGAAATGAAACGGTATCTTCCGTTTTCCGGCATCCAAGTAAGCTCCGGCGGTCATAATCCGATCATTTTAGCACTGCAAATAAACGTGTTTGATTGCGGAGGCACTGCAATTGCACTCCAAATGTCACATAAGGTCGCAGACGGGACTTCTTTGATGAATTTCATGCAAGCTTGGGCTGCTACTTGCCATGGTAACAGCGATGATGCTGCCAAATTTTCGCCTGAATTCGGGTTGGCGGACTTGTTTCCACCTAAAAAGCTACCGGAAAATGGTTGCAAACCGTTTCCAGCTGATGTGATAACGGATGAAAAGATCGTCACGAAACGGTTTGTGTTTGACAAGGAAAAGGTGTCCAAGATAAAAGTTGCGGAATCTTATACTGCAGGTAAAAACCTCAGCCGGGTTGAGGCGATTTCCGTGTTTTTATGGAGGCGTTTCTTCGAAATTGCGAAAGCGAAGAAACCTACCCTGAAAACAATCGGAGCCGGCCATGCTGTGAACTTGAGGGGCAGAATGGATCCACCACTTGCAAATACCACGTTTGGGAATATTTGGATTTTGTCAGCTCAAGCAATACAAGATGTTGACAAGAAGGAAGATGAAAAGAATGAGGTTCTTGATTTGGGAGGTGCTATGAACAATGCAATTAGGAAGGTTAGTGTGGATTATGTGAAAAAGATACAAAGTGGTTCAGCTGAATTCTTCAATTCACTCAATCAGATTCCAACACAAACATCAAAGGGAGATGGTAAGGATACACAATTGTCATTGTTTAGTAGTTGGTGTAGGTTTCCTTTGTATGAGTTGGATTTTGGTTGGGGTAAGCCAGTTTGGGCTTGCACTTCCACTTTTCCTTTCGACAATGCTGTGATTTTGATGAGTACTGGTTGTGGAGAAGGGATTGAGGCTTGGGTGAACATAGTTGAAAAAGAAGAATCCCTATTAGTGGTTAACTAGTCAAGGGAATAATTTGTTCATTGCAAGAGATGTAAACTACTCGTCTTGTATGAGTAGTCCACTTTGTGGAGCTATTCTCTAGTTCATGAAAGTGAAATAATACCTTCAAAGGGAGGGAGAACATCCAATCACGTTTAGATTGTGCAATTAGTTAGTGAATGGTTTGTGCTATAATCACAAAAGAGAGTTCAGGATAATTGTAGTGTTTATGAGTGTGATCTTTTGTTTGGTATGCATTCATTCGTAATCGTGATTTTGAGATTCTAGCTAGGTTTTATTTTGCTGTTTATTATGAAAACATAAAATCGCCATTTTTTTTTGTATCATTTGTCTTTAATTATTATTAGATTTCAAGGTTTTGATTTGTTGCGGCGGAAAGGGTATAAACACAACAAACCACGGAAGTGAACCCCAAGAAAATCTCCTTTTCTACTACCAATAAAATAGGACAATCACCCAAACAAGCAACTAATTCAAGAACTGATAAGATAAAGGAGGCACACGAATTTACGTGGAAACCCAAATCGGGAAAAACCACGGGATTGTAACAACAGTCAAATCTCCACTATCACAATAATGGGAAAACAATCTTCACCGACTGGTGGATACACAGAACTTCACCCAAAGGTGGATTACAACAATACTCTTCCACACACACCTATCACAAAGTAGGACTGGAAGGATCTAACCAAAAGAGAGCTAAACCGAAAACTAAACCCTAGCTTTCTTTCTTTTTCTCTCGTACAAAAACAATGCACGGCTGCCCAAATTTTTCTTCTCTCTTGGCAGAAAAATACACATCTAAAAATTATGCTAAAACCTTGCTTTTATAGAGCAAAAAAACCTAAAAAACAAAAACCCAATTGGAGTGGTTTTTGTTCCTAAAACCAAATTGATTTGGTTTCAATCACTGCTGGCCCAATTTGAGGGGAACTCGGGCCCAACAATCTCCCCCTTCACCTCAATTGGGGTAAAATCAAACCCGCTTCCTGTCTGCAAAACAGGAGCTTGTCTCTACTCACAGTCTTCGTCAACATATCGGCACCCTTGTCATCCGTATGGATCTTCTCAAGAAATAACGCCTTGGACTCCAACACATCTCGAATCCAATGATATCTCACATCAATATGTTTTGACCGCAAATGAAATGTGGAATTTTTCGCTAAGTGAATAGCGCTCTGGCTATCACAATACACCACATACTTCTCTTGCTTCATGCCAAGCTCTGTAGTAGACAAAGCAACACATTTCTGCAATCTACTCTGCCATGAAACTGCTCCCCCTCCATAAGTCATCAAGTAACCAGAAGTAGACTTCCGTCCATCCAGGTCACCCGCCATATCAGCATCTGTATATCCATCTAACATGGTCTTCCCATTGCCAAAGCAAAGACTCAATCTGGAAGTACCCCTAAGATACCTGAGAATCCGTTTCACAGCATTCTAATGCTCCTTATCAGGATTGGAGAGAAACCGACTAACAACCCCAACTACATGAGCTATGTCTGGCTTTGTGCAAACCATCGCATACATTAGGCTGCCAACTGCCGAAGCATAAGGAACCTTTTTCATCTCTTCCTTATGTTTCTCATTTTTAGGACACTGCATTTTGCTTAGCTTAAAATGCCGTGCAAGTGGAGTCGAGACTTCCTTAGCACCGCTCATGTTAAATCTATCAAGAACCTTCTCGATATACTTCTCTTGAGATACCCAAAGCTTCCCATTCTGTCTGTCACGAGAAATCTTCATCCCAAGGATCTGTCTAGCCGGACCCAAATCCTTCATCGCAAAGGATTTATTCAACTCATTTTTCAACCTAGCAATCTTTGCACTATCATGACCAACAATCAACATGTCATCGACATAAAACAAAAGAATTATAAAATCACCATCAGAGAATTTCTTCACAAACACTCAATGATCAGCTGTAGTCCTTTGGTATCCCTGCCCTATCATAAAGGTATCAAACTTCTTGTACCATTGCCTCGGAGCTTGCTTCAACCCATACAAGCTTTTGTTGAGACGACATACAAGCGTTTCTTTCCCCTTCTCCTGGAACCCATCTGGTTGCTCCATGTAAATCTCTTCTTCCAAATCACCATGCAGGAAGGCTGTTTTCACATCAAGCTGTTCAATCTCAAGATTCAAGCTGGCTGCTATCCCAAGAACTACTCGGATCGAAGACGTCTTTACAACAGGAGAGAATATCTCATCAAAGTCTATGCACGTTCTCTGATTGAATCCCTTCACAACCTCTGGCTTTGTACCTCGGTTGTGAGCTGTTCTCACTTGTTTTTAGTCTAAACACCCATTTATTCTTGAGTGCTCTCTTGCCCTTAGGCAGCTTCACCAGGTCATACGTGTTATTCTCATGCAAGGATTTGATCTCATCTTGTATGGCTGCTAACCACTGATCTTTCTACTCATGATTAAGAACCTCTTCATACGACTCTGGCTCTCCCCCATCAGTAAGCAACAAATACTCATGAGCACTGTACCTGGTGAAAGGTCTCTTGTCTCTGGTGGACCTCCTAGGCTGAACAGGAGGTGATGAAACCGGTGGTGTCTCTGTTTCAGTAACAGGATCATCATTAAACTCACCATCTTGGTCTGTCTCAGCTCCCCCTTCAGGAGCATCATCTGATTGTGGAGGAACTGAGTCTAAATCAACAGGAATCTCAGGTGAAGATTCTGGCATCTCGTCTTTTCCCATATCATCAATGGTCTGGTCTTCAAAGAAGATCACATCTCTGCTTTTGAAAACTTTCTTCTCTACAGGATCCCAAAGTGTGTACCCAAAATCATCATTTCCATACCCCACGAATACACACTGCTTGGATTTGCCATCAAGCTTCGACCTTTCATCTTTGGGAATATGAACAAAGGCACGACAACCAAAAACTCGCAAATGCCTAAATGAGACATCTTTCCCTGTCCAAACTCGTTGTGGTAGATCACCATCCAACGGAACTGAGGGAGATAGGTTGATCAAATCAACTGCTGTCTGCATGGCTTCACCCTAAAAAGATTTAGGCAGCTTTGCATTCGAGAGCATACACCTAACCTTTTCGGTAATAGTTCTGTTCATTCTTTCTGCCACGCCATTCTACTACGGAGTCTTCGGAACACTCTTCTGAAGTTTAATGCCATGGTCTCGGCAATACTTCTCAAACGGACCCCTGTACTCACCACCATTATCTGCTCGAACACACTTCAACTTCTTGCCAGTCTCTCGTTCAACTCTAAGGTGAAAGTCTTTGAACACATCTAATACCTAGTCTTTAGATTTCAAAGAAAAACACCAAACCTTTCGAGCATAGTCATCAATGAAGGTAACAAAGTACAATGCTCCACCCAACGACCTATCTTTCATGTAACATACATCTGTATGAACTAACTCTAGAGGACTGGACTTCCTAGATGGAGGAGAATTTTGAAAGGAAACCCTATGTTGTTTACCATAGATGCAGTCAACACAAGGTTCTAGAGCAGTACCTTTCACCTCTGGGAGAAATTGCTTCATACCAAGAATCTGCAACCTCTTAACACTCATGTGTCCAAGCCTTCTGTGCCAGAGATCAATGGAGGCATTGTGAGTCGCATTCACCTCTCCATTCTTCAACTTTGCATTCAACACATACAAAAAAGTCAACTTCTTTCCTCTAGCAATAACAAGATTCCCTCTGGTAATTGTCCAACGGCCACCACCTTCAGTGCTATGATAACCCTCATCATCAAGTTTACCAACGAAAATAAGGTTCAGACGCATATCCGGAACATGTCTGACATTCTTCAAGACAAGAGTACAACCTGTATTCGTTACCAATGATACCTCTCCCATGCCGACAACATCGCATGAGTCTAGGTTGCCCATTCTTACACGACCAAAATCTCCAGATATGTAAGAGGTAAAGAAGTGTCTGTGAGGCGTCACATGATAAGACGCACCTGAATCACCGAACCAATCACTGTCGTGACTTGCAACATTAATTGTATCATCATCACAGTACACAAATACATCACTGGTAGTTACTACTGCAGTAGTGTCATCATCACTTAATTCATCCTTCTTGCCTTTACCTTTTCTCGCTGCTAGTTCTCTCTTGAGAACCCTGCACTCCCTCTTAAAGTGCCCATTCCCTTGACAATGGTAGCACACGACATCTTTCTTGGATTTAGACCGTCCCCTGGACTTGTCATTCCGATCACGTGGCCCTCTACTTTTACTTCTCCCTCTTCTATCTGACTTTTCTGTCACCAAAGCCTGCGACTCAGACTCAATACTCTGCTCTTTTCTTCTGAGTTATTCATTCATCAAAGCCTCTTTGACCTGATCCAAGGTCAAGACACCATCCTGGGTTGAATTACTGACTGATACTACCAAAGTGTCCCAACTGTCTGGAAGAGAACTAAACAATAATAAAGCATGCACCTCATCATCCAACTTTAAACCTACATTCACAGCTTGTTTCAACAAACCCTGAAACGAACTCAAGTGCTCATTCATGCTAGCACCATCTTTGTACCTCAAACCTGGTAATCTGTTTCAGCACAGATGACTTATTGATGCCGGACTTCTTCCAGTACATATTATGGATTTTCTCCCAAAGTTCATCAGCTTTTGTTTCTCCTGAAAAGTGATGAAACACACTTTGATCAATCCACTGTCGAATATTACCAACAGTCTTCCTGTGCATATCAGCCCACTTTTTATCAGTCATATCACTTGGCCTACCTTCATCCCCTAGAACAGGATCAAACAAATCTTTGCAATACAAAAAGTCTTCCATTCTAGGTTTCCACATATGATAATTGGATGAAGTCAATTTAATCATCGTACCAGTACCTGATGACTCTTCCATTTTATTGGTGTAACACCTCAACTACCGAACCGTAGCTCTGATACCACTGTTGTGGCGGAAAGGGTATAAACACAACAAACCACGGAAGCGAACCCCAAGAAAATCTCCTTTCCTACTACCAATAAAATAGGACAACCACCCAAACAAGCAACTAATTCAAGAACTGATAAAATAAAGGACGCACACGAATTTACGTGGAAACCCAAATCGGAAAAAATCACGGGATTGTAACAACAGTCAAATCTCCACTATCACAATAATGGGAAAACAGTCTTCACCGACTGGTGGATACACAGGACTTCACCCAAAGGTGGATTACAACAATACTCTTCCACACACACCTATCACAAAGTAGGACTGGAAGGATCTAACCAAAAGAGAGCTAAACCGAAAACTAAACCCTAGCTTTCTTTCTTTTTCTCTCGTACAAAAACAATGCACGGCTGCCCAAATTTTTCTTCTCTCTTGGCTGAAAAATACACATCTAAAAATTATGCCAAAGCCTTGCTTTTATAGAGCAAAAAAACCTAAAAAATAAAAACCCAATTGGAGTGGGTTTTGATCCTAAAACCAAATTGATTTGGTTTCAATCACTGCTGACCCCAATTTGAGGGGAACTCGGGCCCAACATGATTACATTCTGGTTTATCATTTCTTATTTTTTTTCCCAGTCGATGTTAGGGAAAATGCAAGTTTTATATCTTGGGGTATCCAATTTATTACATAGTTATTCTTGAAGTGTTTAAAGCTTTGACAAACTGCAAACTGCATCAATCGATTGTTTTCTATTATAATAAATTGGCAAACCAGAAGAAAATCAATCCATGACTGGTCATCAAGGAGCTCTATCACTTTGAGAAGGAGCGTGGCTTATTAACTTTTTTTATTAAAAAAAAAAAAAGAAAAATTGTTGTTTCCAAAAAATAGGAAAAAGAAAAGAAGCAATAAAGACAAATTATTGGTAAAAATGCATCTCACATGAGAAAAACTCATCAAAAAAAAATTGCAGAAAATTCTAGGAAATTATCGGAAGTCGTTCAATACCAATGAATTGCAAAGTTAGGAAACCTTTTTGATACAGACTTAGTAATAATTGATGTATTAGAAAAATGAGCAAAGGAATGTCCAATAACATTATATGATCAGAGATTTGATGTCTCGAAGATGAGGAAACCGGGGGTAAAATGCAATTCGTAGATCCGAAAGTGGAAGGAAAGAAAATCGCTAAGGTCAGAGAAATGGATGTCCATACTGAAGTAGAGTATTGGGATTCGTCGATTGTCTGTTTTGTGCTAGGAGCTAATCCGCCAAAATGGGTGATGGAGGATTATTTCAAGAAGACGTGGGGGCATCTGGGCATTGACAAGGTACTTTTTCTCCTTTCTGGGTTGTCTGTTGTTAGATTTACGACTTTCAATGCGAGAGATGAAGTTCTGAGTCTTAGTATTTATCATTTTGGTGCGAAACCCCTTATTGTTAAACCATGGGATATTGAAAAAGGGTTGAATTATAAGGAAGTTGAAAGGGTTCCTGTATGGATACAGTTACATGGTCTTGAAATTAAATTCCGGAACCTTAATACACTAAATAGAATCACGAGTACAGTGGTATTGGAGATGCAACTTCACTTGGGCCGACAACCATTCATGGGTCCGATAATATTCCTTTATGGCTTATTGAGCCAGCTAAAGCCCTAACAATGGCCCAAACCCATCATTGAAAGGAATATTCTCGGGAAATATTTCCCTCACCTTATCTATATATACCCCATTTTTAGTGGTGGAGAGTAAGCTCATTTCATTACTCCCTTCTTGGCTCACATTTTATACATTCACTCTTGACACTGACTTGCTCGTTGGAGTGCTAACCCTTGTTTTGCAGGTCTCAGGTCCATAGACACCGTTGACCCTCGTCCTAACGGATTTCACCCTCGACAAGTGGCGCCGACTGTGGGGACACTTTGTGTTTGTGATCAAAGGTGAATCTAAAAGTCTTCGTGTCTATGGATCTGGAGCAATGCGGTTTAAAGCTACACATTTGAGTTCGTGGATCTGGAATTTCTCCGTGATGTGGAGGTTTTAGCTGGACTTTAGTCCTCTATAGCCATAGAACTGGCCACGGCTGCCCAAGTCAAATGGGGCCGTGAAGTCTGTAAATTTGGAAGGAAGCCCGTCTTCGACGTCAGGCTGATTTGGGGGCATCTGCAAGGATACGTTCCCCCAAGTTCCAACTGTAACAACATCGGCAGCAAGCTCCGGCGGCATCCCAACAATGCGAAGGTTCGACGTCGAAAGTCACCGTCGTCCTTCATCGGAAACGCTTCAAGAGCCCAGCATCGATACCGATTCCAACCCCGCCCCTGCTTGAAGAGGTCGTTTCTACCTCCCCTAAAGCTGCCGCGGAGGTGGATGGTCTTCAGGCGATTAAGAATCAGAGAGGCAAAATATACGTCCTGAGCATCGACGGCGGCGGAATGCGCAGCATCATCCCCGGGAAAGCCTTGGCCTATTTGGAGAACGCCTTGAAGGTAAAATCCGGCAATCCCGATTCTCGGATTGCTGATTATTTCGACATAGCCACCGGCTCCGGCGTCGGAGGTATCTTCACCACCATCCTCTTCGCCACCAAGGACCACAACCGCCCCATTTTCCATGCCGACGAAACGTGGAAGCTTCTAGCAGAGCAAGGCAAGAATTTTTACCACTCCTCCAATTCAACCGATGGAAGCTTCTAGTCGAAGTCATCTTCGGCAGTGAGTCTATTCGGCAAAGTCACCTTCAAGCCTTCGTCAAACGCCCAATCTCAAAGTCATCATTGGCAACCGTTAGAATCGGCAAGTTGCAGCAACTCCGTCTTCAACGCCATTACAATCGACAGTGAGTCTATTCGGTGTCAACGGCAAAGGTAACGGAGCAGCAACTCCATCTTCGACGCCGGTTCAATGTGGTAAACGGAAGCCATCCTCGACCCAACCGGAAGCTTCGTCCACAGAAGCGGCAGGCGCGGTCCAGATCGGAGACATCGTCGGCAGCAGTAACTTTAAGTCATCCTTGATTCTTGTAGTCGGCAGTAACGGACGGCGGCGGCGGCCTGCTTCACCTTCGGACAGTTCCATCGTCGACATCCGTGAAGGAATCCGACACCACCAGCTTCCCCATTTACTAAAGCCACCCTCAAATTATTATACACCTCCGGCCACGGCTTCGACTTCCGTCTACGGTTTTCGATCTCGGCTTCGGGTTTGATTTCAGCTCGTGTGTCGGCGTCGATCCACCTTCAACAACCGGCGAAAACGTCAGCCTCGGAGTTTAGAGGGAAGCCGCGGGTTGAAGAAGACGAAGGGGAGCTGGACATCGCGCGGGAAAAAGGGCCAGTATTGCAGAAAATTCAAAATTTTGTAATCAGGTCCCTATTATTTTAGTTATTTACAAATCAGCTCCAAAAGTTCAAAACTTTACAAATCGGCCCTAAAAGTTCAAAAACTACCAAATCGACCCTGAAGTTTGAAAACAAGACAATTAGACCCCTGATGAAGATTTTGGGGCCCATCTGAGAGATTTACAAGCTAATTTCAAGGATATAAAGCATCATTGGGAGCTCTCTAACACCATCGCTAGGCTATAGTCCTACCCAACTACAAAGATAAGTGTTCTTAACCACTTTATCACCATTTGATGGTCTATTTTGTTAAATAATTTTATTTGGGGGGAGGAGTTGGGTATGTGATTATACATATTTCCTCCTTACTAATTGATTATGCATTTATCGATGCTTAAATCAGCGTAGCCAATACAAATACACCATTATAGCATGACATATAGAGAGTAGAGCTATCATCGGTTCATGTACTCTTTGTGCTTTCGAATATGGTTCGTATTTGATTATGTGCTATGTCCCCCCTTACCCTCGGAAATATGAGGAAAAGGAAATAAAACTATTTAAGAAAATGGACGCTTGTTCTTGGGTAATATATCTATGCTTGGCGGTTTGAAAAGGTGGGTTGTTTTTTCTAAAAAATTTTGGTTCGAAGACGATCTACCTTTCATTTCGAAAAACCATTTTGAAAATTAGATATAATATCCTTTCTAAAGTTTTGAGTTATTGAACGGGTGGCATGTCTTTTATCTCGAACACTCGCATTCGTGTTGTAAACAAAGATGTAATCCTTCTCTTGAAACTTTGTTAACAAGTGTACGGGGTTAGTATATAACATACTCTTAATTGCCTTTGTGTGTACTAAGAACAAAGGAATAACCCCTTTGCAAAACCTGGACGCCTTGCAGGGCTTCACGAATCCGAGGACGTCCACATGTCCGAGGATGCCATCCCAGTCCGTGGATGCCTACATGTCCGAAGATGAAGGCTTGTCAGTCTGAGGACGAAGGCCATCAGTTCGAGGACGAAGGTGCCAGAAAAGTCAGCAAAGCCCGTATCGATCCCCGTGGTCGACGGCACTGTACGCCCTCCGCGGCCTACGACATTCCTACGGCCTCCGCGGTCTGGGAGCTTTTATAAGCCCGTCTCGATCCCCGTGGTCGACGGCACTGTACGGCCTCCGCGGCCTACGACATTCCTACGGCCTCCGCGGTCTTGGAGCTTTTATAAGCCTGTCTCGATCTCCGTCGTCGACAGCACTGTACAGCCTCTGCGGCCTACGGCACTCCTACGGCCTCCGCGGTCTTGGAGCTTTTATAAGCCTGTCTCGATCCCTGTGGTCGACGGCACCGTGTGGCCTCAGCGGCCTACGGTAGTCCTACGGCCTCCTCCACGGTCTTGGAGCTTTTATAAGCCCGTCTCGATCCCCATGGTCGACGGCACCGTGTGGCCTCAGCGGCCTACGGCACTCCTACGGCCTTCACGGTCTTGGAGCTTTTATAAGCCCGTCTCCATTCCCGTGGTCGACGGCATCGTGGGACCTCAGCAGCCTACGGCACTCCTACGGCCTCCACGGTCTTAGAGCTTTTATAAGCCCGTCTCGATCCCCGTGGTCGATGGCACCGTGTAGTCATCGCGGCCTACGGCACTCCTATAGCCTCCATAGGCCTTGACGCATTGGAACCTGTCTTACCTTCCAGAAGACACGAGTTCAAAGGCAGACGCTACTTGATAGCTTGCAGGTGCTAGAGAGTCAGTCAGACCCCTTCGACCTTCTGGGGACGAAGGTCCGATCCTGCCACACTTAATCAGGTACGTGACATCTTTCTAAGATCTTTTTTGAACGTATCATGTTTTCATTTTATCTTGAAGGTCTAGCATACATGTGAATTGTGCCAACTCAAATACTATAATGATATAGCTCATCTAGCCCTAGATTTAGCTGATGGGCACTAATTACTCCTTGAAACCGTGTCGGTAAGCTTGTGGGTACGAAACTCATATGGTCTTGATTTGCCTTAGGGTTAGAAGCTCACGTGGCACTGATCAACCTTCGAGTTTCACACTCGTATGGGTTTGACTCGCCATTGAGTTGAACACTTACACGGTGTCAATTAGACTTGGAGTTATACGCTTCTACAGTTTAGATCCACCTTTGAGTCAACAACCCCTTACGGCATCGGCCATCTTTTGAGTTTTATGCTCAATAAGCTTTCGTTCGCTTGTGGGTTACTTACACCCGTAGTCTCGATCAGCCCTAGACTCGGCCTAACTTCATCCGCGAAATCCTACTGCTTCCTTTTTAAGCAGGGGGGGAGGGCTCCTAAGGTGGACGATGTTGCTTTTTATCGTAGCCTACCTGGGCAACAAGCATCAAGGCTGGGGGGAAGGGGCAAAGAAGTTTAAATAACACCTTTACTTCAAAATCCTCTCAAACTTTTTTCTATTATCATATCAAATATGATAACTTTTCATGTACTCATGTTCATCGAATCGAATGGAAACACGACGAACGGCATAAGTCATACGGCTTCGACTAGCCTTAGGGTTAAAAACTCACATAGCGTCGGTCAACCTTTGAGCTCTATAATCATACGATCCTAACTCGGCTTCGAATTATACGCTCTTACAATTTTGACCACCCTGAGTTAACAACCCTCATGGCCTCAATCAAGCCTCTTTATCTCATACTCTCTCGACTCTGGCTCTATCTTGAGAAAGGTAAACACACGTACTTGATCAGCCTAGGGGTCATACAAACTCTGTATTGGCTAAACACAGCCTAGGGACATTAATCACCTACGTAACTCCAATCAAGTAAATAGCCAACTATACTCAAACACGTGTCTTATCTATGGAAGCAAGCTTATCCCAACAAGTACGCCGTCGACCCCCGTGGCCGATGGCGCTCTTGCGCCCCCTGGGCCTGGAGCTCTCTCAAAATTGTGCCGACCATCGTGGTTGATGGCACCTATTGCTCTTTGGGCTTACAACTTCTTTATTACACTGAAAAGTTATACAAATTCCGTAAACCCATACACAAAAAACACGCTTCTAACACGTTTCTAAATATAAAACTTGGGGGAAGGGACGATCACTATCCTCTAAACGTCTAACAAAAGTTTTATATATGTGAAACAATAAATTAGTAGGCGCGTACATAAACAATCAATCGTCATAACAACGTATAAGAGGACGGAGCAAATAAGTGAAAGGAAATAAAAGGTAAGGAAGTGGGGTTGTTTTTTCAAAATAATCCATTCTATTCTATCACTTCCTACCAATACACTTGCCCTGGCAACTAAAGCCAGACCTACTCCCGATTAGGATGACCCTCGTCCTAAATCATGAAAGAGCTTGGTTATATCCACCACTCTGCCTCGCATATAAGTGATCCAGGGACGACCCACATTCGGGGCAAGGTTCGAGCCATTGGGATCGGAAGTCGTATTCCTTACCTCTTTCCACGATAAAATGGATAGCGTCTGTTAATGCCGACCGCAATTGACTAGTGTATGTCCGAAGCAACGATATTCTGTCGAAGGCTCCATCCCACTTCACGGTCACTAATGCTTATGCCCGCCGAGGGTGAATCAGAACGCTTTCATAGTAGTTAAATTGGATGAAGTCTTCAGAGTCAGGTTCTGCCTATCTAGGCGCCCGTTTTCCGCCCGTTTTCTAAGCGCCATATTAAGTCTTCAGCGCCATTGGCACCCCTTTACTTGAGTGACCTTCATATTACCCGATGGTGGCAATACTTTTTATTCTTTCAACTCTCGCCCCCGAGAGAGAAAGCAATTCTTATTAATGTATCCTTCGGGTCGAATCATAATCCCCAATGGTGCATTGTCGACTTCACGCGAATTTAACAATAGTCTTCGATGGCGCTATTCGGACAACACTTTGTTATGCTCCGCCGCCATCTTTCTTATCAAAGCGTGACTTCTTCTCAAGAGTTTATATATATATATATATATATATATATATATATATATATTACTCGGCTTCAACGACCAATGTCGCGCTAACCCTCCTGGCTCAGTCCATTATGACGCAGGTCAATGGGGGAGTCTGTTTATTGACTCGTCTAAAGTTTAGGAGTAGACTCCTCCTGTTTACCTGCGCTTGTGAATATTTTTCTATCTTCGAAGATGAAAGGGGCAACCTGTTTGCCCCACTAATAATGTTAATATTAGCATGATATTTGTGGTGGTTTATGTGTTGTTTTGAATATTATCTATGCTAATATTAGTGCTTTGGTTCTTAATTTGATCGTAG